CACCGTCTTCCTCCTCCATCACCCACACCCATTCACCATCGCCAACCATCTTGCACCTTCTTCCTCCTCCATCACCCACACCCATCCACCATAGCCAACTACCTTGCACCTTCTTCCTCCTCCATCGCCCACACCCGTCCACCATAGCCAACCTCCTTGCACCTTCTCCCTCCTCCATCACCCACACCCGTCCGCCATAGCCAACCACCTTGCACCTTCTTCCTCTACCACCTCCTTTCACCACCCTAGGGTCGTAGGCAAGGGGGGGACTCCAAGGGGTACGAGGGACCTTAGGTAGGCCGGTAGGATGAGTAAAATAGTAAGGTTGATTAGGATAGGGAACTTTTTTTTTTTTTTTTTTGTCTCTCTCTCTCTTTCTCTCTCTCTCTCTCTCTCTCTCTCTCTCTCTCTCTCTCTCTTCCTTCTTCCTCGTTCTCTCCCATCCTCTCTCTCTCTCTCTCTCTCTCTCTCTCTCTCTCTCTCTCTCTCTACCCCCTTTCATATCTCCCTAGACCCTTAACCTTCACCTCTTTCTCCCTCTTCCTCCCAAATCTTGGCACGTGACTAACCTTCCCTCACTTGTTACATTGCCAGGGAACGAACAAACAAAGAACTTGGTCCTCACTTGGTGGAAAGAGAGGGCAAGGGGAGGGTTGTCGGTCCCTTGTGCCACCAAGAGGGAAAGGAGAGGACTCTTGTGGGAACTTGGAAAAACGAGATCCTTTGTTAAAGCGGAAAAGAGTGAAGGCTTGAGACCAGGTCAATTTGTCTCAACCATTTTCCCCGACTGCGTGACTAAGGAAGAGGCATGGCTTGCTTGAAGGAAAGGGAAGAAAACCAAGAGGGCCATGGGAAGAGAAAAAAACCTAGGCATGTGGGAGGGGCGATGTGTTGACCCCAATTGGGATTGTACTTGGCTTTGTTTTGCGTGGTCTTGCGCAGGTGAGTAACTTAGGATGGACTGAGCGGGTCTGGCTCCGCGGGGCGCGGGCAGGATTGGGAAAACCAACAAGGGAAAGACATGGGCCTAGCGTAAACTATTAATGCGGGTGGGACTTGATGAATGTGTGCTTGAAAAGAAGAGACCTGGCTTGTGTGATGGATGTGTATCTTGATTCTCTTTGTGCAACATGGAAGCCCGAAAAGACTAAGGGCGACAATGGACATGCGAGTAGGATGGTTGTCAAGCAAAAAAAATATAGGGGCTAGGGGCATGGACGGCGCGACCGCACCCCGATGATGCCGTAGAAGTTGCTATGCTTAGTGAAAAGGTGTGTGGCCCAATGGATGATGCTTGGCCTACACACGAAAGAAGATGAATTCTCAACGAACTCCCTGGAATGCTTGTGTATTGGAAGGAGCAATTGCCTGGTCACACTTAAGTGAATCGAGAAAATGCCACAAGTGATCAAAGAGCTACTATCTAACGCGGGAGTGGAGCTACATCCCCCACTGCAAAGCCCTCTCGCAAAAGGCCCATCCCCATCCATCTCATAGCACTAGGTGGGGGTGCCCCTGGGATGAACGACCCGCGCCCTGAGCGTGAGCGTGGGCGGGTCAAGCCAAATGGGACCCGCAGTGGGGTCGACTCAGGCTCGAAAGTCCTTCAGGGTACGGCCCCTACAAAAATGATGGAGGTGTCGGGTATGGGTTAAACTGACCCATACGATCTCGAGGGGGGCGCCCGACGCATGCCCACGAAGACAACATTAAGATAAGGAACGAGGACTTGTGTATGCTCTACTCCCTTGAGAGAATCAAATTTGAGGGCGGTTGGGCGCATGGCAAGGCCAAGCTTGGAGGTATAACATGCATGTTGCACACATAATCAGCCATCTCCCTTGTGGGGTGACTCTAGTCCTCCTTCTCTCGGACTGATGTTCGTCAGGCCGGGGAAGTCTTGGGCAAGCCGCAGGTCGACCCTTCCTCTTCGTGTGAAAGAAGGGCTCCGGTTACCTGGCAGGCGGTTGGGATTCCGGGCTAGTCCGGGTTCCGATGAAAATCCCGCGGCGGAGTGATCCGACCGACATGGGTGCCTTCTTCTCTCTTCTTCGGAGCCCAGCGGGCTCCTTGCACCGCACTTGAAATGCTTGAAGGAACCTCATATGAACATAACGGGTAATCGAGAAGAAACAATCCTACCTTATGAACGAACAGACAAAAGAAGATAAGGGAATGGAGGGAGTTGCTAGACTCCAAAGAAAACTAGCTCACCTTTGAAGATGCTCACGAACAGGAACTGGACACTGTGTATGGAAGTTAGGGGTGAGTGACACGCACGATCCTAAGAGAAAAGTTGTGAGCAATGGGTAGGAATCGCTGGGTGCACCAAGGGAAAGACACTTGTACAATGTGTGTCCCACTTGGGACTTGTGTTTGCATGATGGGGATTCGAGCGTCCTGCCTTTCGGAAGGAAATGATTGGTTTGCACCGGCCGGTGCGGGTTGCAAAAGTCGTTCTCTTTGAAGTTCCCCGGGTTCCGTGCGCGGGGCTCGGGCCACCGGGCTGTCGGGCAGGAGTTGATCTCGTCGGCTGGTTAGTAACATTCTCACCCGGGCGGTCCGAGCATGGCTCGATGACCTTGCCCAGGCGGGGTGCGAAACACCTTTAGGCGGGGCGGCTGATTGCCGGCAGACGGCAGGGGGACCGCTGCGTATGGGGCAAGGAGGGAGCCTCAAAGGCAATTAGTAGTTTCTCGTAGCTTGGTTTGGGAAAGGCTAATTCTTATCGAACCGATGGAAGTGAATGCCCGGATGGCTGACTTTTGTCCCTTTATTTAAGTACACGGGGTAACCCTCGGTGTCGGTATGGATGAGCAGAAGCGGCAATACGGGATGGGGTATTCTGGGTACAAGGAAAGGGCTAATGCCTTGCCGGAGCCAGGGTACCGCGCTTGCGACGGTTGAGCTGTGCTTGAGGTACAGGATAAAACTCTGCCGCTAGTAACAGTGAAGAGACCACTTTGGGGTAAAGACCGGTGAGGAGATGACCGGCCTGTGTGCGAAGCTTGCATGATTTTTTTCCTTTGTGTCTCCCTCTATAAAGTTTGCTTGAGAGTGTTGGGAAGGGAACTGAGCTCCTAAGTCTATTCTCGCCTCCTGTCTAAGTCCGCACGAGTGAGAGAAGATGTGGGCAGGCATGGATAGGAGTCGGAAGGAAAAGAACCAGGAGAAAGGAATATCGGCCGGTGGTGATCAATTGGGGGTACAACGGGGCAGTGGCATCTGGGAAATGGGAAGGGAAGGTTAGGGAGACCCGGATGAGGGGTCTGAAAACTATTCTCATCTAGAAAGGGAGACGGTCTGACCAAGAGGGGCCGTGTAGTGCTCTCTTGTGGAAACAAGACCGGAGTCGGAAAACGGAATGGCGCGGTGGTTCTCATCTCCTACCTATTCTAGTGGTCCGAAAATGCCAATAGATGTTAAGGAGGGGGTATCAGTCGTCCTCCCGGAAGAAGGAACGTGGACAGACCTGGAACCAGCCTACCAAACTGTGATGCTGAACGAAAAGGACGCATTCCTCTCGATAGAGACAATCTGGACCAAGGTTAGCCTGACGAGACTGTCGCCGAGCTTGATGGACTTAGAATTCCGGGGGACGGTGGAAGCCCGAGGGTGGGTCTACTTCACCCAAGAGATGAAAAATGCAATGGTAATAGAATTAGTGCTGGGAACGGCGCCGGATTCGCTGTTTAGACAAGCGGAATGAGAAGTGGTATGGGCGGCGTGTCAGCGGGCGGAAATGGAAATGGATAAGATGGAGGTGCGAGTGGAGCTCGGGGATAGGGGGAATGTGAGGCGACCTCTTAGAACGATGAGGTGCGTGCTACCCCCGTTTCTGGTGGATGCAGTCTTTGGAACCCGGGGCAGATTGGAACAAATATGCCAGTCGATGACATACTTGAGGCTGTACCAGTGTGCTCGACAGGACTTCTTTAGGCTGTTGGTAGAAATGGGGCCGTTCGATGGGAACTGGGCGGAGGAATTAGCAGAGGTATTGAACCTTCTCAGCGCGGATGATGTCTTTGTACCTAGTTCAGTGCATTGGCAAATAATCTATCGAAGTGTGGTAGTAGGGGAGACCTTCCTAGAAGGGCTGAAAGGACTGTTCTTTGATGGGGAGGAGGATTTCAGCGATGATGAGGACAAGGACGAGATGGAGGATTGAGACTTCTGAGAAGGGGGGGGACTTACCCGGGGAATGGGATGTTGGCTATGTGCAGGTAGGGAACGATGGCTCGGAAACTCCAGCCGTGGGACTACATGTTCAAGGGGTGGAAACCAAGGCGAATTAGAGGGGGAGTAGAAATGTCCTTGCCAACGGAATGTGAGTGGAGAGGAGCGACGTGTGACTGGGTCGGGCTTAAGATCGCACCGGAACTGTCGTATCTATGGATAGAATGCATCTGGAACCCCATTAGGGAGGAAGATGGATGGGAAGATATCACAAAAGGAAAGGTGGAATCAGTTGGGACGGTCGTCTTGTCAGAACAGGGGTGGCATCTGTTCTGCACCACGCTGGCGGCAGGGCAAGATCCGATGTGGCTTCTGGAGGGAGCAGAGACAAGGACTCGGAAGGCGGGTGAGAGGTTTGCCAATAAGGGATGGGATGAGGTCCACAGTAAGGTCGTAATGAGGGGATGGAAAGAATTTAGGCCTCCCTGCCTGCGAAAAAGGATATCGGTCCCCGAGTTTGTAGTGGACTGGTTTGGGGGGTTTGATCATGTTGCGGAACTGGCTAGCACTATGGAACGGGTACACATAGACTATACATGGCTGTCAGAGGAGTTTTATAAAACATCACTGAAGTACGGGCCTTTCCATGGCGATAGAGCTTGAGAGGTCCTCATCATTTTGAATATGGATAGGTACGACCAATTAGAGGTAGCTCCGAAAATTAGGGAGGCTATAATCCGCCGAGAGGTAGCGGCGACACCTTGTTATGTGGATGATGTGTTTAAGCTGTTCGAGGTACTGTGGTTCGACTAAGAGCAGGGAAAGCCGCGGGCCAGGCAAGTGTAAAATACTACTGAGACAAGGGGTGGGATGTCTGGCCGTTGTAGGGATCATTGCGGCTTGCGGATTAGAAGACCAAGGACACTCGCGGGATGGCACGACGAAGGACGTTCCTTGAGGACCGCCCGCTGGGCATTGAGCCGCCAAGGGAGGTGGCTGGTGGAATAGAAATTAGCCTACCTGCCGCAAGGGAGGGCCGGCACCCGATGGTGGACTGGGTCGGGGTAGAGCTCATGGAAAACACGGTTTACTTAGTGACGAGAATTGAGTGGCGTGCGGATGAAAACGGGGAATGGAACCCGGACCCACGGGGACATGTGCGTGTAGAGGGTCGGTTGCATGTGTCTGAAGACGGGTGGCGGACGTTCGGAGTCCTGTTGGCATCAGGGGAAGATCCGTTAAGTATGTTCGAGGGAGCATGGCAACTAGTGTGGCAAGCAGGGTTCGAATTCGCATACCCGGAACTTGATGACGTGGCAGCTAACCTTAGAGTAGCCATGGCCGGAAGCTTCGAGCTGCCCAGTGAAAACGTTCGGATGAGATTGCCGCCCTTTTTGCTAGAAAGGTTAGGCGGGGTAGAGCTTGTCAGGAGGGTTGTGGCCGACCTCGCCAACCTGACGTTTGAGGACACGATGGTTCACCGAGAGTATTATCGGGCCTTCCTAGAAATGGGGTCGTTCAGCGGAGAGCAGAGGTATGAAGTATTGTGAATCCTGCGCGCCGTATTTACCACCAGGCCAAGGGCTCAGGTCGTTAGCGACAGGGTTCTATGGGGCGTTGTTCGACGAGAGATAAACCGGGGGATAACTTACGTAGATGACCTGTACCGCTTGTATGAGCCAATGGAAGTACAGACGGGCCGGTAGGAGAGGCAAGAAAAAGAGGGAGGAATAAAAAGAGGGAAGGATATCGAAGTTAAGGACCGGGGAGTTGCCCGGATGAGGCCGAAGAATGGATGAAATAAGCAAAATTCGCTTACTGTTTAAACTGTGCAGGGGACCGCTAATCAACAATGGCGATGAGATGCGCACGGATGTCGCGACGGCCCACGCACCCTCGGCCACCCACGAAAAGTGGAGGCGGATGGGAGGTATCGCTCCCGACAAGCTACATGGTCCGAGGAATTGACACCGAATGGAGAGTCGTGACCTTGGGAAGGGACCAGGCGTTCATGATGGTAGAATGTTTGTGGAGTGGGATGAGGTTCGATAGGGGACCAGGGGACGACCTATATATCAACCTAAAGGTAACAGAAACCGTATACTTGCCGGAGGTCGGATGACACATGCTAGGAACGGAATTGGCACTAGGGCATGGGCTGTTACCAATCTTCCAAAGGGCTACTAGGATAGTGGACCAAATAGGTCAGGAGGTGAGAGGAAGAAGGAACGTGGGGCTGAGAACCCGGGTGGAGGTAGGAGGATGACGAGAGTTTAAGGCCCCGATGACGGGACTGCGGTGCCGAGTGCCTCGCTTCATGGTGGACTTGGTATTTGGCAGCCTCTCAAGGGCAAGAAGTCTGGTGGACTCGACTCTAGTCTGGAACCACTACTTTCGTCCGCAGACGACGGGGATGTTTTACGATGTGTCAGTCAGGCACGGGCCGTTTTGGGGAAACCAGGCCCGTGAAGTACTCGAACTTATCGAAATCCTGATATTCAGGTTACCACGCATGGCGTTTGAGGAATATGAACCAATAATTATCAGGGAAATAGAGATGGGAGAAAACTATCTTGCGAGGGTGGCCGATCTGTTTGAAGAACCAGATGAGCGCGACAGACCTGAGGGACCGGCGTGAGAAAAAAAGTACCGGAGAAAAAGTAAAAGGTGGAAAGACGGAATGAGAAGCTGGCCGTCAGCAAGGGAGTAGTGGTCGGATTTCCGCCCTACCTGAGGTCGTGGCAGGAGGGAACTGGGAAGACCACCCGCGCTGAAGGACGCTAGGGCATCCGGGTGTCAGGAAGTCAAAAGGGCTACCCTCGAGGGGAGAGCCACTAGCCTCAGACACCGCCCTAAGGAACCGGGGCACGACAGTGATGAAAACGCCAAACCTCGGCAGCGAGCCTTCCGGCAGAGGAAAGACAAAACGGCGTCCTGCAGGAAATTGTTAGGTAAGTCGTCCCGACAAAAATAAGATGGCAAAACACGGAAATAAGTAAGAATAAGGGGACCTTAGAGCCCGGGAACTAGGGAAGCTATGAACAACCGGCCGTTTCGCAAAAAAAGAAATTTCCATGTGCAGGGTAGGTAAAGGGATGGTGTAAGAAGAAGAGGCCGAGGGGCTGCGGAGCAAAGGGAGTCAGGGCACGGATAGAGGTGGGGAACGGAACGAAGGGTCGGTAAGGGATCGAGAGTCGGCAAAACCAGAGGGGACCAGTGAAGACGGGAAGGACCTTTCGACAGGGGAAAGTTCGGGGAAAGCCGGGGGAAGCAAAAGAGGACCCCAGCAAAACAGGGAAAAAGGGGACAACGGCAGGACGAGTCCTCGAAATTCTGACGGAACCACACCCAAGAAAACGAAAGTCTCTGACGCATGTCGGAAGCTGGCAGAAATAGAAAAACGGAACGCAAAATATAAGGCAAGGCTTATCGAGGAGATGATGGCTGGGAACGAGGGAGACCTTTTGGGAGAAGGGTCACGAGAAGAACGCAGGGTCAGTCAGGGCGAAGTCAGGCTCGGAGGGAAGGACAATAGCCATAGGGGCACGCCCAGTAAGAAGGGTAAGGAAAAGGGGGACTCCCCAGACGTAGAGGCGGAAAAAGCAACGACCCCACCTGCCATAGACAGTGGTACCAACCGTTTGCCCGCCACGCCGAAAGCAACCAAGGCGTGCGACGGACTTTGGAGTCTCAGGGAAAGGGTGTTAGGTTGGTTTGATCCGGAGGGTACGCCAAAGGCCGGGGAAAAGCAGAGGGATACCAAGGAAGGAGAAGGGACCAGNTCTCAGGGAAAGGGTGTTAGGTTGGTTTGATCCGGAGGGTACGCCAAAGGCCGGGGAAAAGCAGAGGGATACCAAGGAAGGAGAAGGGACCAGTGAGGTCGGCGAAACGGGGAACTCTGAAGGGGGCCTCAAGAGGATAGTAGCCACCCTCACCCGGGCCCTGAATAAGAATCAGGGGTATCTTGCGGATGCCAAGAAGAAACTTACCTTCGACGGGGCAAACATTACGGAATTCCTGATAGACTACGAGAACCTGGCAGCCTTGCTAAAATGGACTGAGGAAGAAAAGATGGATCACTTAGGGCAGCACGTGTCGCTGAGCCTAGGAAGGGACATTATGGCTATTGTCGCCTCTAGTGGATCTTGGAAAGAGACCCGGAACGAGATAATGTGGAAGTACCTGAAGGCAGAGAAAATGGCAACAGAAGTCGAATTGGCGGCAGTCCAAAGGAAAAACTATGCCACTTACAATGACTTCCTAAGGGCATTTACTCTAGTCGCACTACGAATTCCCGGGGTAACAGACCGTATAATGAGTAACTATTTCCTCAGGCAGTTCTCCGAGTTCGACAAGGATAAGATTTTGTCGGCCTACCAGCAAACCAGTAAGTTCGAGTACACGAGGGACGTGGACTTTAGCACCGTAACAGACCTCGCAGAAAAGACAGTTGTAACCGATACGCTAGCCCTGCTTAAGGAAGGGAAGGTTATAGACTTGACTGGGAAGACGGGGGATAAGGTCAAGAAGGGGATAGAGAGCCTGCACAAACGAGTGCACGGGGTTGACAGCAAGATAGAAAGAGTGGAAAATGCGCTATTAGTAATGCAGGTGCAGGTGTCCCAACCCGTCCTCCTGCCCCAAGAGGCCGTAGTTCCGGCAGCAGTAGCGAATCAGGGGTATGGCAGAAGGGATCCGGCCAATGAGCAATGCAAGTATTGCACAATGGTCGGACATTTCGTGCGGACCTGCCCAAGACTCAACCATGATATCATGAGACAGAGATGCAGCAGGTCCCTCAAAGGTGAAATTTTCGGGCCTCAAGGAGAGCGCATAAATTGGAATTCGCCAGGAGGGATGCGACGTGTCGTCATCCTCCTGAATAATCTCGACATAGCTGCCGTAGAAGCAGAACCGGTAGCTGACATTGTCTGGGACCAACCGAGGGGACGCGGACCACAGGCGAATTTCATCCTAGAAGGTAGTGGACAAGATAGGGTGAACATCACCACCCGGAGGGCAGCGGCGGAAAATAAACTTATTCGAGATACGGTAATGGAAGAGATCGCGGGGACCAGCGCAGATCAAGGAGAAACCGAGACCGAGGAGCCGGAAAAAGTCTACGAAAAAGTCGGGGAGGAGGAGCCGGTAGACAAGGTAGTGGCGACAAAGAAGAAATTTAGGTACCAAATTCCGATTTTGACACTGCCCGAGATCAACGATACTCTGAGTAAACTGCTAGGTACCATGGTGTCTGTATCTTTTCAGACCATGTTGCAAGCGAGCCCAAGATTGCTTAAAGGACTCATGCAATTACTAACGCACCGACGCGTAAAAGTAGAGGAGGCTCCGGAGCCACAGGAGCAGGAAACAGAGGAGGCTGAGGCACCGCAAGGGGTCTCCAACCTCCAGAGGCTCCCAGGGGATCTGGAGGACCTGGAGAAAGCCTTTGCAGACATCCGCCTAAGCCTACCAGACCGAGAGGGTGGTGAAGTCATGAGGGCGTCGCCCGGCACGAAGCTCAGCTTCCATGCCTTGCCCGTAGTAAAGTTGAAAGTCCAAATCGGAACCCACCATACAGATGCATTAGTGGATGGTTGTGCGAAAATCATCCTCATACGACGAGACTTCGCAACAATTACTGGTTGCACCATAAACAAGGAAGTGACGGGGAGTATCCAGGGAGCCGGCGGGGAGATTCCCTTCGCAGGATATGTTACGAAATGCGCAGTCAGGGCAGGGATCAGGGAATCAATCTGGTCCTTCCAGCAGATGACCGTGATGGAAGAAATGGACCATGACATAATTCTCGGAAGACCATGGTGCGCCAATGTAGAGATGATAGGTATGCATCTGCATGATGGCACATACATGGTGGATATAGAGGACCCCGTGACCGGCCGTGGAGAACTCCTCCGACTCCTTGGGACAGGAGGGGATCCCCCGAAGGGCAAATTGGCAACCTGGTCGCCAACGTTCGAAGAGAGTGCGAGAAAGGGGGCATTTGCACGAATGGAAGGTATGAGGGAAATAGTAGAGATTATGATTGAGGAGGCTTTTAGTAAGAAGGAGTGGATCAAGATGGGTTTGGCTCTGAAGAAAAGGAGGCAAGAGGATGATGTGCTAGGGGTTATGGTGACAGAAAAGGAGGCGGAAGTCGAGCTTGGGGCCAGCCTGCCCAAATCAAAGGAACATCCGGAAGGAGCCGCTCCAGGTGGGAGAAAAGGTACTAGTTAGGAACTCGGCTCTTGAAAGCACGTGGTCTGGACAGTTGGGAGGAAGGTTCAAAGGTCCCTACAAGATCGCTAAGAGGGTGGGATTGAACACGTTTGAACTTGAGGATCTCGATGGTACTGGGATGAAAGGGCCATTTCCGGGGCAGAGGCTGGTCAGGTTTTTGAGCAGGGATCCGGTGGAACAATGGTTACAAGAGGCTCAGGACAAGGAAACAGGGGAATTGACAACCTGAAAGACAGGCAGCTGGCTATAATTCTGTACCGCCGCCCTGCGGAAGTGATCATGATTGCAGGGAATTGTTCGTTTTTGTGTCTTCTTTCCTGTGGAACATGGGGTGACTGCCTGGGCTGAGTATGAATGAGGTTGGGAGCCTGGGACAATGTACCATAGTTTTTGTGGGGCAATTCTGGGGACTGTCTACATGGGGAACCTATGTGCTGGAACAATGTGCCGAGGGTTCTGAGGGATAATGCAACTACCAATCATATGGGGCCAAACGAGGGTTCTGGGGAAGACTGTAAATCTGCAAATGAGAGTGGGAGGGAATGTGTGCGTATGAGGGGGTGCGGTGACTTGTTATGAATGAATAGGACCAGGGAAGAAGAAAAACAGCAAGAAAAGATAAAGATGGAGTTTGGAAACGAGAACGACGGCAATGCCATCAACAGGCCTACTTGGGAACAAGCAACAAGACAGGCCGGGGAATCAAGCTCCAGGAAAAGAAAGTTGTATGTGGGATTTGACTTCAACTTGGTTGTGAACAAAGGGGGAAGGAAGCAAGGGACCAGGGGACCCTCACCCCTGAGAGAGGGGGAACCGATAGTTCTCTCATCTGACAGTGACACTAGTAGTGAGGAGGATGGGAGCCTAGGGAAGAGGCAAAGGATGGAAGAGGAAGAGCCCAACGAGGTCATAGACCTTAGCAGTGAGGAGGAAGAAGATGAGGTCACAACACCCACAAAGGAAGTTCGGGCAGGGGAGGAGGACCCAGGTGAGGAAAAGGACAAATGGATAAGAGAGTTCGGGCCATCTTGCACTGACTGGTTCGATCAATGGGCCAGTATTCTGCGGTATGAGTGGGCAATGAAAGGGAAGGAAAAGCTGAGCAGAGGAGAGGACATAGCGCCAACAACATTTTTCACAGAAGAGGCGCTCCTACAGTTGCAAAGGACAAAGAGAGAGATGCAGCAGGAGATCGACAATCGTGCAAGAGAGGCTCGACACAGGGCAACTGGGCAGTAAAGGGGTAGTAGACATAACAAGGAATAGTTAGTGGGGAGGGATGGTACCTGGACAGGCAGAACTGCCATTTTGAACTTTGCATTTGAACTTTATGAGAATGGACTACAACGGGACAACTTCCTATTTGGGATGGCCAAGGACTGGGTAATTAGTGCTACTTTGCATAAGTAGTTGCTTCTTCAGAAGGACGTGAGGACCGACGGGCCTGAGACTAGGATCATGAAAGACTGGAAGGGAAGAGAGGGGAGGATCTAGATGAGACAAGTCTGTAATGTTGCTTTTGCATTCGAATTTGTCTTTTTTTTTTTGGGAAAAACCGCGACAAAGTTGTTCTTTGAACTGGGGAAGTAAACAGAGACTAAGTAGCCAGTGCTACTTTGCATAACTACTTGCTTCTTTGGAAATGCAGGGATCTTGGATGGTGAGAGACGAGCTGGGAATGGTTAACTCTGTTTGGGAAAGGGCAAGAGCATGTGAATCGTTGAGATTAAAGAAAGTCTATGACATAAAAGTTTTTGTGCAATGCGTGCCTATTGGATGAATGAGTCATGGTATGAGTTTCTGTGAGAGGTTAGGGGACCTATGGGTAAAGAGGCATGAAGAATCCTCTTCCCTAGGAGCCTAATCCAACCTATCCCGGGCAAGTCTAGAACGTGAAACGGCATGAGAGGTCAGAGAAAAAAAACATTGATTGAGTAAGCATTTTCCGTAATGGTTGAACGACCGGGTGGGCTAGTGCTGCTTGGGGTTGCAATCCTCAATTCGAGCACTAGACGCTAAGTCGGATGTATGTATGAACATGAGAATGATGATTGGCACGAGACAAAAGGCAAAGGCATGCGTAAAACCCAAGAGATGGCCACCTTCTAACCTCCAAGACAGAGATCAGATCCGTGTCCTCGAGGCCCACCCCCTCGGACGCTAACAATGGAAATGGATAAGGATGACCCTAACCAGGCTGTCCGATTGAAATGGATAAGGATGGCCGTAACCAGACTGTCCGATTGAAATGGATAAGGATGACCCTAACCAGGCTGTCCGAAGGAAATGGATAAGAACGACCCTAACCAGGTTGTTCGGAATGGCCCCTAACAAGGGTCATTCTTTGGAATTGGCACTGGGGTCCCCTTGCATGATTGTTTGAGACGGATGAGATTGAGAAGAGCTGAGCTTCGCGATAGACATTCGTACTGATTGTCCGATCCTGACCGCGATAGACATTCGTACTGATTGATTGATTGATTGATTGATTGACCGTGATCCCCGCGATCCCGACTCCGATCCCGACTCCGACGACGATTGATTGATCTTCCCGACCGTGGCTCCAAGGATGACTAGACCATGGAAAGATGCACGCATACACACACACAAACGGCCGATCCTAACCCCGGTGATTGGTTTATTGATTGATTGATTGGTTGATCGATTGATTGGTTGTCGGGGGGGTCGCCTCCGACAATCCGTCAATCAATCAATCAATCAATCAATTGATTTATTGATCAATCAATCCGTCAAGCAATCAATTGATTTATCGAAGATCCCATCTAATCGATTGACTCGATAGGATCTTGACATATCAAGATCCTATCGAATCATTCAATTCGATGGGATCTTCGGTCTCTTTCCCGACCTTCCCCGTTACTCCTCGCTTCGGCCCTTCCGTTGCTTCCCCCGCTCCTACGCCTTACCCCGCACTTCCGTCATCCCCTGCAGCTTCGCCCAGCTTCGCACGTCCGCCTTCCTCGCTTTCAATAAATCAATCAATCAATTTCGATTGATTGATCGATTGATTGATCGATTGATTGATCGATTGATTGATCGATTGATTGATCGTGAATTAAACTGAGATTTGATCCCGATCTCGATGCCGATTCCGACACCGACCCCGACCCTGACCGCATATTCATATTTTTTAAGGTGCATAGCGAATATGACAACATACGCACACACGCATACTCATCTTTTTTAAGGTGCATAGCAAAGATGACAACAAATTCATACATACAGACACTCGATGATTGATTGATTAATTGATTGATTGGTAGAGATAGAGAGAGAGCGATAGATAGATAGATAGATAGATAGATAGATAGA